ATGACGTCAAGGGCTAGCGTCTCTTGTGCTCTAATAGTTTATATTTAGTAAAATCGCGCTGAGGCCAATTATATTTTGCAATGACGAAGTTGGAGGCGTGTCTTGTGCTGTTATAGTTTATATTTAGTAAAATCGCTGCCGGGGACTGATCGATGAGGCTCAGCATGGTTTTACAAGGGGCAAATCCACAATCACCAACTTGATCTTATATCAGTCAATGCTGTTGAAGGCCTTGGAAGATAAGAATCAAGTTGATGCTATCTATACAGATTTTTCCAAGGCCTTTGACAGTGTTGATCATGGTTTGCTCTTTGGGAAATTGCATCAGTTTGGGTTCCATTCAAGCATAATTCGATGGTTTCTAGTTCTTTTACTGGTAGAGTACAAAAAGTTAAGATTGGTGGTTTTTTGTCTGAAAATATTTTAGCAACATCTGGTTTACCGCAGATAATGATTCTGATACTGTATTATTACAGGAAGATTTAAGTCGATTAGTCACATGGTGCGAGGTAAAGAAGCTGAAGTTAAATGTTGATAAATGTTATGCAATAAGTATTTTTAGATTCAGCAAAAAGATTATTCCTAATTATCATGTCAATAATAAAGAAATTAAATATGAACCCAAAATAAAAGGATTTGGCGTGATTTTCGATGAGGAACTAAAATTTTTTGAGCATTGAAAATGTGGTGGTGCAGTCCTCTAAGCTGTTGGGTTTTATTTTAAGGAATAAGGGATTGTAAGAATTTCTCAAATAATTCTGCTAAATGTATTTACAGAAGTTTTGTGAGGTCTAAATTGGAATACAGTTGCATTGTATGGTAACCCTATCATAACATTAGGAAGATGTCGGTTGAGAGAGTTCAGAACAAATTTTTAAGGTTCTGTTCATATCGGACTGGGGTTCGGGTTATCGATCATAACTATGAAGGCACAAGAATGAGTCTTTAACTTGAGTCCCTGGAGTGTCGTAGAATAAGGATCGAATTGCCCTCAATTGCTTGAGCAAATCAAACTTCATATTCCTGTAAAGCCGCGTCCAGATTAGTAAATAAATGCGTTGCGTTGAATTCGGGATCCGCCACAATTTTTTGCGGCGCAAATTTTGCATCTTGAACCACATAAATATTTGTGTTGTGCGCCGTGCGTTCTTGCTCAACACGTGTGTGGCGGTGGTGTATTATGGCTTTCCTAAGCTTTGTATCCATTCTGGCAATTCTGGACCCAATCTTGTGTATCAAAAATTCAAAATTATTTGGAGACATACGCATTTTTTTTTTTTGAAATGCCCTGTACTTTCATCCATAGATAGAAAATTCTATAATGTGCTACCATCCGAGTCGCCTGCGCGCATACGTGCCATTTCCGAGAAAAGTCGTAGAGGAAAAGTTGTAGGACTTGATGTAAGCAAGCCACTCACAAAGTATGGGGTTTACATGTATAACTGAAAAAAAAGGTCCTTGGATGGTTGACTAAATAGGTAGCACCTGATTTTGTTTCTTTTTTTCTCATGTTTTTTCTTAATAAGAATTGAGAAGGCACATAACTATGCAAGCAGTACATTTTTTTTGCAGTTTATCAATTCATCAGAAGATATAATCTGTGATATAATCACAGATTCACAATTTGTCAAAATCGATGCATTTGCGAAAAAATACGTCCACCTAGAACGATGTTGCGCCGCAAATCCCTTTGATGTTTTGAAAAAAACCGACAACCCGCGGATCGTGTGCATTGAATGCCGCGAAGATTTTTACGTGCGTCCGTATGCGGCGAACAGGTCCACACTCGCATAAATTTGTATCGAACAGACAAATTTGTGCCGAATGCCACGTACAACGTAAATTTTTACTAATGTGGACGCGGCTTAAGACAAGTAAGACACAAATATCTATTTTATCTTGATTTTCACAGAACAGAATTTGGTCTGATCTCTCCTCTAAGTAGGAGTCTCTCACTGATAAATCAGAATAGTTTGGAAGTTACTGAAATAACTAAGGGCAGGTTTATCAAGGTGTGTGATAGAGTGGTTGCGTAGGAGTTATGATAGTTGCTATAGTTTTGGGTTTCTTTAACTTCAGAGATAGGAAATTATAATGAATTGTCTTATAGGTATTGATGAGTATAATTTTAGCTGATCACATTTAGTTAGTTTTGTAAAAATAATATATTTTGTTGACTTGTAATATTTGTTTTCAAGCTCTTGTAGCAATTTGATCCACATATTTTCTTTTGTCACCTCTGTATTTTAATTAATAAAATAAATGTTTTTATCCCCCCAATAATTAAATAAAATAAGAAAAACTGTTAGCGAAACAATCAAAAGACTCTCAATGACGATCCAAAAACACAAGCTCAAGTATCAAAATAAGTTACAAAAACATTTCACGATCAATTTATAACTATTGAACCTAACCAAAAGGTTATCACAGGACAATTACAAAATATTTCCTTGGAAAACCAAAATTTCCACTTAATGTTAATAGACCCTGAGTTTTAGTGGAGTCATTTTATTCCACAGCGATGCTGTTCTCCAGAGATATGAATTCTGATATAATGAGGTTCTTGGTGCCTCTAGTTTGACAGTAAATTCATGGTTACCGTCTGTTTGACGGGTTCGCCTGGTAGGCGCTACTCTCGGTGGAATCATACGTGCCAACTCTTCAGAGCATTTTCCGTGATAGTACCTGTAGAAGAGAGATAAATCGCCCACAGATCTGCGATGTTCGAGACCATCCAAGTTACGAGTAAGTGCGGGGTCATTGATCAACTTGATAGCTCGTTTTTGCACGGTGTTCAAAAGCATTAAGGTATGTTTGGGTGCTGCACTCCATATATGTGAGCAGTACTCCATAGTTGGTCGAATCTGGGCTTTGTAGAGTGTCAGCAATTGGCTTGGTGTGTACAGATGTCTTGTACGAAATAGCACCCCCAGCTTTTGGGTTAGTTTGGGTTAGTTTGGGTTAGTTTGGGTTAGTTTGGGTTAGTGTATAAAATCTATACACTTCCTATTCAAGAACTTACCTTTAGGAATAAGTACCCTTACCTATTACTTACTACGGTTATTTACTACAATACTTTATGGGAATGCCCGATAGTTGAAAATTTGTACCTTTGTAACCAAGAAGAGCTCAAGCAAGAAGAATCATGTGTCTATGACCTGATTACTGACCTACCACAAAAATGTCCTTTCACTCAAGTGATATATGCAAAACCAACAGTGAGACAACTCCCGAATGGACAACTATTAGTCATGCCTAAGAAAAGTCTGACGATAGTTACCCAATGTGACAAGACAAACCATATAGATATTATAACCAATCCAACGCTAATTTTTTTTGAAAAATGCTTTGTAAAAATACAAAATCAAACATTTTCAAAAACCAGCGAGAACTTCAATTTTGAGCTGAAGAATCCGAAAATAGACATCCCTGAACTGCCAGAGACAGAAATCAACCATGAAGACCTAGAAGAAGCCTTCAAGACGACGTAACAAATAGGAGTTCACAATCTCAGAGAATTGTCCTTTGGAAACTCTTATTTGAATACATTTTTTATATGCTTTAATGAGCTTACCTCTCTATGAATTTTCAAATGCATTATTGTAAAGTAAACATCATATTGCTATATCGGCATTAAATTCTTATTTAAGCCAGCGGAGTGCCATAAGGAACGTTCATTTGTTTTCAAGCTCTTGTTGTAGCAATTTGATCCACATATTTTCTTTTGTCACCTCTGTATTTTAATTAATAAAATAAAAGTTTTTTAAAATACAAGTTTCAGAATTGAAATAGTTATTTTCCTAACAAGTGCGCAAAGTGATACTTTCCCGCACGAAAAAGCAGTTAGTCGAACGACGCGAAGCGGAGTTTGGATAAGCTTTGAGTGCGGGAAAAACATTTTGCTCAAGTGTTAGGAACAATACTTTTTCTATGAGTGTTTGAAGATTTGCATAACATCCAGAGGAGCTGTACCTAATCTTCTTAAATGTTTCCAGATGCTCAAAACTGGTAGTTTTCTCTCCTAGTTCAATGTGTTGTGTTTTCATTTTTTTTTTTCAGTGATCAGCTTGAATTTATTTGCAACATTGGTTGTGCTAGCGAGGTTTACTTTAAATTTGAAGTCGTTAAGTTTGTTTTTTCTGCCAAATTTTGGTATGAAGGAGTATAACTTACAGTCCAACTTTTATAATCTGATACTCCAAAGGAATGTGAGCTGGTGGCTCCCCATGCCAATGGTCACCTGACCTCACATCTGTTTTTGCTCCCGTCACTCCTCATATGGAAAGTGTCAAATTAAAAAAAACTAAACATTATCTGAATGCCTTTCTTGGAACAAAAATAACATCAGGCCCGTCTTTCCGAATATAAGTTTATCCAGAAACCCACAAAACATTGAAAAATCGAGTATAAATGCGGTAACTATGCGTAACAAAAATTAGTGCGCAAAGAGTAGAAAAATATAATTTGCTCACACAGCCCTAAAAATGTTGTTTACTCTTGTAATAAAGATGAGTAGGTAGCTAATTAACTAAACTAAATTACTAAATTAGAGAAGGCTCTATACTTGTCAGTGCAATTTTCTGTTTTTCATTATTTTCTCAAATTAACTCAATAAATAACACCGGATAACAATTTCTAAGTGAGTATTTAATCCATATAACATATATGTTTCAATATCAAAAAGCAGGTGAATCAGTAAGTTTATGTACTTTATGATAAATTACAGATAACACTTTTATCTTATCGGGGCCTTTATTCCCGTATGCTTGTGTCATCTACAAGATTAGACTGTGCCTTACTACACACTAATTTAACCAGAAATAGAAATGTCTAAACTAATTATCAAATAGCTCGCGGATTTTTTGGAATAAGTCTTGTTAGGGTGTGAGCTTAGTTTGTGACATACATACTTCAGTACGTTCATTGTTTCTCTCGGTGCAAAGAGAAAATTATTTTAATAATTTTGTTTCGGGTTAGTTAAGTGACGAATTTTGGACAAAATGGCCGGAAAAGGTGATGGAGAGGGCGAAGGAAATATTATTAAGCTAGAAAATCAGATTGCAGTAATTAAATATGTGCTACTGTTCACCAACTGTTTGGAATGGGTAAGTAATTATCTATCTTCAATACTAACTATTTAAAGTTCCAAAGCTATAGAGAATTAGCTTATTTGGCTTAGTTTTCTTTTTAATTGATGCATATAGGCACCTTAATATTGATTATTACTTCGTAGGTTCGTAATGAATGCTGAAAGCATAAAAATTTAATTAACAAATAAAAGTTTTCTTCACTCTCGCGTTAAAGAAAAATAAAGGCCATTAAACCTTATATTCAGCATTGCATGTATGTTTGACTAATGAGCTTATCAATATTGGATTTGATTGAATCCTATCGTGCCGGCACAGCTCAATTATCAGAGGGTTGGAATTTTTAATTGGGTCACCAATTAGTTTTTAATTTGAGATCGACCGGTGTAGCGGCCAAAAAGCCCTCAATACTGGGTAATTATTGATGGATGGATATGACTTTTTAAACGATATCGAAGGAAATTAAAGTAGCTTTTAAATGTCGATAATAATAACTAACTAAGAATTGTCTTCTCGAATATAATTTATAGGCGTGTGAATCGTCATCAGGCAATAATTCTGGCCTAAATATAATATTTCCGCATAATATCCTATAGCAAGCCTTTATCCTGGTAAACAAATATTGACGAACAACTACGAAATATTTCAGTTTATCACTAGCACGAAATTATTTAGAGGCAATAATTAATCAGATTAGTATACCTAGAATAATTCTTACAAAGAAAATGAGTCACGTCAGAACCAATAATAAATAAAATGGTTTTTGATAATTTAGATTTAAATTGAATTGAAATCAGATACTTTTTACATTATGCAATCAAATATCGTAGCCCTTATTTTGCAAATTTTTAATGTTGTCATCAGCCCTTTCGCAAAAAACGAGGATTTAATTAAACAGTTCAGCATCCAGTGATTGTTCGAATCGGAATTAAAAGCTGAACTTGGCGCTTTAATTCCCTTTTGCCAGTTTAATTTTAGAATTAAAAGCAAAATTTCATTTATTAGATGATGCAATTTTGTTTTGTTTTATCCTTTGCTCGTTGTTGCTTGTAATTAGTAATTTATTTTGTCGTATACTGTGTTGTTTTGGCTTTTGATGATGAAATCGATTGCCATTACGTGATCTGGAATACCTAATGATGCCTCGTGAGGAGATGAGAGGAAATTAGCGATTTGTGTGGTTTCGAGACATGATCTACAATGATTTCCCAATTAGTGGAGTGCCGTATAAGGTTTATACCTACCTCGAAACCAGGGTCCACTGGACAGATTTTTGTTAATCCTGTTGGATTTTGTTGTTAGAATTAAATACTAAAATGTTTACCCACTCATTATTGCCACTATTGATTATTTAATTATAATTTTTTTCGTTTCCATTTATTTTCTATTATGGACTCGTAATTTTGTAGCTTGAGGCTTGTTGGCATAAACAAAATAGTTATTCACCTAACAAGTGCGGAAAGTTATACTTCCACGCAGGCAAAGGCGTTTGCCGGCGCCAGCGGAGTTCGTGCAAGCCGTAAGAGCGAAAAAGATACTTTGCGCTCGTGTTAGGTGAAACGCTGTGCGGAAAGGTGGTACTTTCCGTACGCAAATCGGTGCGTGAAAACGCGTTTTCCGCACGCTCGTAGGAAAATTATAGTTACTACTTATAACTTCTACTTCAGAGTATAAATAAATAAAACAAAGATCCTGTTGTATCACTTGATTGAGATACATAGGTTTTTATTAATTAACATGTAGGGATGGGCGTCATAGTGACATGGTCATATGACACCTCCCCTTTCAAGACCATTAGCATCTGCGCTTGAAGTGATTTTGGCACTATAATTCGGTTATTGTTAAAAGCTAATCCATAAAGTACATATATATCATTGCGTACCTATCTGAAAATATGGTTGTGCTTCAAGGGCTACTTTTGAAATATCTGACGGCCAGCCTTGATTGCAATAGAATATAATTTTTTTAATACAGGAATCTCGCTCTGATTCTTGCTGAAACTCTGCTCATTTTTTCTTTTGTCACATTGATGGAGTGTATTACTTCAGTAATGAATTTATCATCTACTGTTGACTCGAGCGAATAATATCCTGATAAAAAATTTGCAATGTACATGTCTCTTCCTGGATTATAGCATACATTGAGATCGTACTTCAAAAGTTTAACTTTGATTCTTTGCCGCCTCGGAGAGCGTACCTTGTCAACACCTTTTCGCATTAAAGCTTCTAATGGCTTGTGGTCTGAATGTATTGTTACTTCCTCTACCATAAATAAAATTGTGGAAATTTGTGCAAGGCCACAAAATTGCTGTGAACTCTTTTTCAATTTGACTAAACCTTGACTCAGCATCAGTTTAAGCACGTGACGTATAGGCAACGGGTCTTCTATTTTGCAGCAAACAGCAACCAAGCTCACTCTGACTACTGTCAGATTGAATGATAATTGGTTTAGCCTCATCAAAATTTGTCAACATTGGAGGGAAACTTAAAACTGATTTAATATTATTCAAAGCATCAGCCTGCTTTTTGGTCCGTACCCATACTATGTTATCTTTAAGCAACTCTCTAAGAGGTGCAGTTAAGGTCGACAATTTGGGACTGTAAATGCGGAGATAGTTAATCATACCTAAGAATTTTTGTAATTCTTTTTTATTTTTAGGCTCTTTAAGACCTATAATTGCCTTAAGTTTCTCCTCATCTGGTTGCATTCCCTCATTGTTAAATATGTTTCCAAGATATTTTACTTCATTTACCTTGTATTGTACCTTAGCACTATTGAATTTCGCATTAAGTTGTCTAGCATGTTGCATAACATCATTCAAGGCCTTATCATGTGACTCTGGACAATCCCCAAAAATCAGCAAATCATCAAAATAGACTAAACAACACTCTATATCACCAAAATTTATAATATTAAATTTTTGAAACAAATCTGGTGCACAATTTAGCCCGAACGGAAGCCTGTTAAATTTATGTACACCAAAAACGCACGGATTTCCCTAAGTTGAAGTTGGTTCAACTTTTCCGGGTGTTACGTTATTTTCTTAATTTTTAGGTGGATGTTAACAACTGCATATAAGTACATGATCTTCAACTTTTCTTTATTATTAATTTTTCTGTAAGTTGTTAAGTTAAGTTAAATGGATGCAAATGACTCTGAAGAAAACGGGTATAATTATTCTATTTTTTTTTTAATAAATCTTGTGCTTCAAACTTAAAGAATATGGTATTGCTCTTTTTCGTGAGTTGAAGATACGCCCAAATTGAGTCATACAGCACGTACTCCAGAATGGGAAATAGTAAGAAGATGTGATTCGAAGAGGGCAAAATAGACTGTTCTAGAAGTTGACAATTTAATACGACGAGCGAAATTTGCTTTGCCTGCAGGCACTAAACTTGGATTGGTTTTCTTTGCTTTCCTAGCCACACTGACGAAACGCGTCTGTGGATGGAATAGCGTGAAAAATTAATCCAAAATTTTGAACATTTTAAGCGGAACGTAATTTTTTCGGATAAAACATCATGAAGTTGTCTATAATAAGGCCATAAAATTCTACAGAATCAAGGACGTCAATAGTGGTGTTATCAAGTACACTAGGTTGCAACATAATTTAATGTGATACAACTTCAGTTTTCGCAGCATTGAAGCAGGGGTTAGACCCGCATCGTAATTGAATGTTGAAAAAGTGGTTGAACAAGAAGACTAGAAATGTCGTTGATAAACAGCAAAAATAATTTATGACTCAACACCGATATCTGTGAAAATCTACATTCTATTGGCTTGCATGAAGACATCGTCGTATTAACTCTCGCAAGCTTTTTCTCAGTTCTTAAGATACGACTCGAACGATTCCAGAGGAAAGCCTCGAATTTTGTAGTACTGCAATATGTCAATTAGGATATTATGACTTATAGATACTACTGGGGTGAGGTAGCTGAAAATTATACCACAATATTCCACGACTGGCAACCCTTTGGGTTCAGATAGTACATGGGTAGACGAGGCTAAAAAGCCCGGGACATGATTCTACATTTCCCTATATAACTCGAGTTCGTATTTTGATATTAACTTATATCATTAGTGAATAATAATCAGGAGAAAACCTGCTTTCCAACAGTATATTGCACATCATAATTTAGGTACATAATACCTGAAATACTTGCAGATTTAATGAAATTGTTCATTTTTCTTTCGATTTTTTAAAATCCGTTATATGTAGTAAACACTTTTATGATGAGACGGAACGAGACATATTCATCATACTGCTTCAGTCCTGAAGTAAATGTTTCCGTAGCACACTTCACAGCTCCGACACTTGGAATTAGTTTGGAGCTCCCTATTTACACCAAATCGGATTCTTCAAACGGATTTCCATGTGCGATTAAGACAATAATCATTTTTTTAACATGGGCCAAAAACCTTTTTTCAAATGCGTAATTATCCTCATGATGCTTAGCGCCCACGTTCTTGTCATCTTTTGAATTTGATTTCTCCCCAAATTCCTCAATTAAAGAACTGATTCTAGGGCCTGCTACCATCCACTTGAACAGAGCATTTTCACTGTCAAGGAGTCCAATAGCGCCATCTTCGCCCTTTATAAACTTGTTATTGTGTTCATGAAGCTGATCGTCAAACATTGCAGAAAACGGTCTAACAGTTTTGCTGCTCGTGAAGTTGTTACGAAGAAATTCACAATGTATATCTAGATGTTTTTCTGGAATGTCCTGTAGAGTGCGTACGAACACTGGCAACCAACGAGAATAGTGGCCTGCATCCAACGCAAAGGTCCAGGGACATAACTGAGCCAAAGTATCGACGTACGTGGTAAAGTTAGATGTACGAATACTCAATACAAATTGCACTAGAAGGGACTCCAGTTTGATAAGTTTTTTCCAATATTGGAACTTAGGACATTCAGATGTTTTCGACAAAATCCACGGTTCAATGCCTTCTCCACTGATGCTGGAATTTGTTTCTCATGCTTTGTTAAATTCGTTTACCTGTAGACAATGCAAGAA